ATCCCAGCTGTGCACAGTGAATGAAACTCAATCATCCATGCCCCCTTTATCAACTTCCAGCTCTTTCCTTATAATTCTGTGGATCACCTCCCTCAAGTCTTTGTCTTGCCTCTGCTCTCCGAGGTTTCCAAACGAACCCAAGGAGCAATAGGTGGAAAGCCTAGGGCCGTGATCGGCAAACTGCAGCTCGCGAGCCACATGCGGCTCTTTGGCCCCTTGAGTGTGGCTCTTTCTAAGCCTTAGGAGTACCCTAATGAAGTTAATAACAATGTGCCTACGTCTATAGTTTAAGTTTAAAAAATTTGGCTCTCAAAAGAAATTTCAATCGTTGTACTGTTGACATTTGGCTCTGTTGACTAATGAGTTTGCTGACCACTGGCATAGACTAATGTACCTTTGCTCAGCTAGTGTACTGTTTTAATGATCATAGGTAGCGCCTACTGTGTGCCAGGTCACATTCCAGGAATAGCTCATTTACTTCTCACGTTGGCCGTTTGAGGTAGATAAGGGCAAACGGAGGTACCCAGAGGTGAAGAAACTCTCTCAAGTTTATACAAGAGGCAGAGCAGGGATTCTAACTCATGTTGGCTGACTCCCATGTCCCTTTGTCTGCTGGCTATGTGGCATGGCCTCAGAACGTCCTGACAGGGCTCATGGGAGCTGGAGAAAACCACAACATTGTTCCCACACAGACCCTGCCTCTGATTTGCGGCCTGGATAACTCCAGAGAAAGAATCTGATTGGTTCCTATGGAGTTAGAGATGCACACTGGTCTGAGGAGTTGTCCTTAGGGGGTAAGGACATCTCATGTACCTGAAGCTGTGAGAAGGGGCAGGAGGGGGCAGGAGGGGGCAGGAGGGCAGAGCAGAAATGGCTGCTCTGAAGGAACATTTTCACTTTAGGAGAAAACCTAGAGGCATAGTCCTTGGAGACAGCCAGCCATGGGTTCAAGTCCTGTCTCTGCCATTTTAACAGCTTCACCTCAAAAATATTAGACTCTGCACCCCAATATTCCCAATGAGTATGCTCAAGATACTTGAAGTGGGAGTGATAAAGACAGCACCTTCCTCACTAGGGTGAGTAGAGGACTGAATCCCAGGCTGCACAGAGCGAGGACCCGATCAATGCCACTGTCGTTGATCAGAGCAGCCCCTTGAGGATGATGACCTTTCTCCATCCACCAGCTGACCTCTCCCTGTCACACCTCCACCCAGGCACAGCCTCCATGCCCAGAGCCAACCTCTCAGCAGTGTCTGAATTCATCCTCATCGGCTTCTCCCCCTTCCCCCACCTTCAGCTGATGTTCTTCCTGC